TGTGGGCCCAGGTGGCCAATAAGCCCACCAGCATCCTGGCTTCTGGTGTGGCTAGCAGGAGTAGGGCAGGGATCGTCCCACCGGCCTGGGCACTGGGGAGGCTGCACCTCGAATCCTGGGGTCAGGTTTGGGACCCTCACTCCCAGAAGGACCTTGAGTGGCTGGAGCATGGCCAGAGAAAGGCAACAAAGCTGGGGAAGGGTCTAGAGCCCAAGTGTGGGGAGGAGCAGCTGAGGGAGCTGGGGGTGCTGAGCCTGGAGCAAAGGAGGCTCAGGGGAGACCTTCTGGCTCTGCACAGCTCCTGACAGGAGCCTGGAGCCAGGGGGGGGTCGGGCTCTGCTCCCAAGGAACAAGGGACAGGATAAGAGGAAACAGCCTCAGGTGGCCCCAGGAGAGGTTGAGGTTGCCCCTGAGGAACAATTTCTTGCCCTGGAGGGTTGCCCAGGGCTGTGCCAGGCTGCCCAGGGCAGTGGTGGAGTCCCCACCCCTGGAGGGGTTTCCAAGCCGTGGAGATGTGGGGTGAGGGACACGGGGCAGTGGGGACCTGGCAGTGCTGGGGGGAGGGTTGGACTCAATGATCTGAAACTTCTTCAGGCAGAATGATTCTATGATTCTGTAATGAAAACAGATTTGATGCTGAGAAGCCTTTGGTGTGTTAGTGCTGTTACTGTGCAGCCTCTGAAAATGCAGCTGTGCTGGAATGGATTTGGTGTGTTGCACACTCAGTTCAGTATCCAAAACCCAGAGCTGCTCTTTGTGTTTGACACTACCCACATAAACAATCACTTTTTGAACCATTTTGCCCAAATACTGTTCTCTGTGTTTGAATGCACCCTCCCCATCACAGGAAACAGCCTCTTTGCTGTCTGTTGCTGTGTTTTGTCTGATAGTTGCATTAATATTTACACTGCAGACCAGATTTGAATGTTAAAGGTTTTGATAATGCTGTTTGCTGTGTTCATTCATTATCCTTTCACTGTATTTGAGCTATGAAAATGAAGAGGAGAAAAATATTTCTAAAATCATGTGTAGCTGAGTAATTGTGGACAGAATTACAGTTCTGCACTTTCTTGCTGTGTCTGTGGTTAATGCCATTGAATTTTACATTCAGGTTTTATCAAGATAGAAGCCTTATGTGTGTGCACTTGTTGTAGCTCATGGCTAGTCTGCAGGTTGCCCATTTCTTCCCTTCTCCCTGTGTTTTTAGGTGGTCATCACCATTATAACTGGCCTTCCAGGATGCCGTTGCAGCGACCTGTGTGCTTTCCTTGTAACATTTAACAAGGAGCATGGAAGGTTTGTACACTTCTGGGTTCATAGTTCAAACCACTGGTTCTCCAAATCACCAAAGACCAGCTCATTGTGAAAGAAAGGAAACTATCAATATTTCACTTAATCTGTTTTGAATATCCCACTTTTGAATTTGCAAACTTGTCTGTTGTAAGAATGAAGTCAGTAAATATGATGAGGCACCTTGGAGTGCTTCAGTTCTCTTATTTCAGGCATCTCATTTAACAGTGTTGTGGCAGGTAGGTTTGCCCTCAGATTTTAACTATTTATACAAGAAAAATAGCACTGGTGATTTCTTTGTTGATAGCCCACATTAAGAACACCACAGGTATCTCTGTAGATCTAAAATGTGTGTCTGGAACTATCGCTGGTGCTACAACTAGTTCAGAATACCTGGGCTAAAGCCAAATGAATCCTGCCTTAAGCAAGGCTGGAAGTCATCACAGCTTGAAGGAAATGGGTGAAGAGCTTCTATTTACTGACTTGGGGTAGAGAGTCATTTTTCTTGGAGTAGTCTTCACTGACAGTCCTCCTGACAGCACTGCTCTGAATCTGACCTGCTCTCCATTCTGTGGTAGCAGGACGTGTGCAGGACAGGTGGGGTCACAACAACCCCCTGCAGTGCTCCAGGCTTGGGGCAGAGGGGCTGGAAACTGCCTGGCAGGAGAGGACCTGGGGAGGGTGGTCACCAGCCAGCTGAACATGAGCCAGTGTGTTGCCCAGGTGGCCAAGAAGGCCACCAGCATCATGGCCTGGATTAGCACTGGTGTGGCCAGCAGGTCTAGGGCAGGGATCATCCCCCTGGATTGGACACTGGGGAGGGCACCCCTCAAATTCTAGGGTCAGTTTTGGACCCCTCACTCCCAGAAGGACCTTGAGGGGCCGGAGCGTGGCCAGAGAAGGGCAACGGAGCTGCTGGGGAAGGGTCTAGAGGCCAAGTGTGGGGAGGAGCAGCTGAGGGAGCTGGGGGTGCTGAGCCTGGAGCAAAGGAGGCTCAGGGGAGACCTTCTGGCTCTGCACAGCTCCTGACAGGAGCCTGGAGCCAGGGGGGGGTTGGGCTCTGCTCCCAAGGGACAAGGGACAGGCCAAGAGGAAACAGCCTCAAATTGCCCCAGGGGAGGTCGAGGTTGGACCTGAGGAACAATTTCTTCCCCTGGGCCTGTGTGCCCATGTGCCCATGCTGGGAAGGACAGAAAGCTGAGTTAAACTCCTTTTCCCCATGAGCTGTGAGCGAAGTGGAACTTTAGCGCTCGTCCAGTTTGTTTTTAGTCTGTTGCTTCGAAATAAAAAGCAGCCAGGAGTGCTGTGTCATGGAAGGTGATCCTCCCCCCATGCTCTGCCCCTCAGGTGGGTGGTGTACCGTCAGACCATGGACAGCCCTGAGTGCTTCAGTGCCACCCACTTCCAGCGTTTCCTCTCCGGCGTGCTGGAGGCTCCGCAGCACCTCGGCGGCCGCCAGCCCCCCCAGGCCCAGGAGAAGAAGCGTCTCTTGGTGGTCCTGCAAGGGTAAATGCTTCAAACTCTTTCAACTGTTGCATACAAAGAGGGATTTTCTGTTCCTTTCCCGTGCCCAAGGCGTTTTTAAACGTTCCCATCACTCTGTAGTGGTTGTGTGTCTGTGCTGTCTCTGGGGGGACCTTCTCTTGCAGGCTTGCCCCCTGAAGGGGCCTACAGGAAAGACGAGCACCATCTTTTGAGCAGGGCCTGTTGTGACAGGACAAGGTGGGGTGGTTTAAAACTAAAAAAGGAGGTTTAGACTAGAGAGAAGGAAGACATTTTTGACACTGAGGGTGGTGAGCCCCTGGCCCAGGCTGCCCAGAGAGGTGGTCGCTGCCCCATCCCTGGCACCATCCCAGGTGAGGTTGGCCGGGGCTCTGAGCAACCTGCTCTAGTTGGGGATGTCCCTGCTCCCTGCAGGGGGTTGGACTAGATGGCCTTTAAATGTCCCTCCCAACCCAAACCATTCTGTGATTCTGACCTCTAAAACCAGCAGCAGACAGCAAGCTGTCAAAAATACACCCTTCACTTGATACCTCAGGCGATGCTGAAGCAGGACTGATTAACATGTTTCAGATAAACACCAGTTTTCTGGTGGAATAGAGATGAAGACTCCAATGCATGTCTGTTTGACATTTCCATCTCAAGTGCAGCATTTGAGAACTACCATGGTCTGCAGGATGTTTGCCCCCTCTGTTTCTGAGTCATCAGCAGGTACCATAAACTAGCTGGAGGGAAGTGCCACCCTAACCTGCCTGGAATGTTTTTGCTTCCCAGATGAGCCCACGTGTTCATCTTTCAGAGGGATATATCTGGAGCTTAGCATTTTCTTCATTATGCTCCATCCTCCTAGTGCTAAAAAACAAAACTATTTTTCCATGTTAGAGTCATAATTTTTTCCTTAAAGTTAGTAGGAGTGGTATAAAGTACAATGATGTGCAAAATAACTGATATTCCTGTAGCAGCACTGGCTTCAGGGATGGCTAATTATAGGTTCTCTGTTCTTTCTGTGTAGCTGAGTGTTGCTATAGACAACTTTAAAATAGCTGGAGTTCTTTAAATAATTCATGAACTTGATAACTGATGGTACAGCTTTGAGAGAAGATTGTAGCTGGCTGAGAAATAAACACCTGGAATAAAATCTGGGGTACACCTAAACTTTGCTATCATGCTGAAGTGTAATGCAGCAGTGGCTGGAGCACTGATTAAAAATGGACATGTTAATTATAGAAATAATCTTAAATTGGAATGCTGATAAGTGAGAGGTGTTGCTTTTTCAGTTCTTTTTTGACTGGAATCACACATGGTGTTTAATATTCTTGGCTGTGGGCATTAACAGGCTTGTATTAAATCATTAATTCAATTTGGTGCTTCCTGAAAGCTTTTTCAGTTGTTCAGCACAAAGTTTCTACTGCTGTTCTCTGTAGCTGTCAGTCATTTATTTCCCCACTTGCAGTCAGCTGTATTTGTCTGGATTTGCCAGGTTTTGAACTTTTTTATAACTATTTTGGAAGGCTTCTTTAGAAATCTAACCTTCCTGCAAGCAACTGATTTCTTAGTATATGTTGAAACGTGTCATTCTGTGTCTCTGAAACCAGATTTCATTTTGTTTTCTTACAGGTACACTGATGTTATTGATGTGGTACAAGCTCTGCAGACTCATCCTGACCCAGATGTGAAGTCATCTTTCATCATTGGAGCAGTGAATACTTGTGTAGAGCCTCTGAGTTGCTATATGGAACACAGGTATACTTTTAGATATATTTTTTTACAGGTTTGAAAGTAGATATGTAAGTTTATGAGATCCCTTTTGTAATGATTAGAGATATATGATGGTTAAATGCCACTGAACTGTCTTAAATCTCATAAAACTGTGAGGTAATCCATCTTAGGTGATCTCTGAAGTGCTGTTTGGTTTATAATGACAACACTTGGTTTCCACTAGGTGTATAATTCTATATACTATTAATAAAAATTTAAATTGTGGAAGAATAATCAAAGGTTGTCATTAGTATGTTGCTTAAATATGTATAGTCTGGCACAGGACTTCGTAAAATCTGCACAGTCAACTGTCCTGTCATGTGTGTGCTTTTAAAATCACTCTTTTTCTTACCATCTTTTTGTGAGCGTGCCAAAAAACTGAGACTCTCAGTTTGAATTATTGATTGTGTCAGTAGTTTGGGATTTTAAATCTGTAAAATCTTCATATATGGAACTGATGGGAAGCAGTCCTAAATTCAGTGGAAGAGAACGACAAAGCACGGAAGCCAAAGCACTGCAAGCATGAAAATCTGATATCCTGGGTTACTGCAGAGGCAGGGTGGGGAGGAAATGGCAGCAAAGCCAAGTCCCTGACATTTTAGAATAGTGTGGTCTGGTTGCTGTTACACAGCTTCAGACTTTCCACACATCACCAAACGTGGAACTGATTTCATAGACCTACCTGTAAAACTGCAAGACTGAAATATGGCAGTTGCACTTTGCAGCTGATTTGATAGAAGTACCTTAGAGCAGCTGCAGTTTTCAGAGTTCTTAGCATTTGCTGGTGATAAAACTCTGTGCAGCACAGCTGAGAGGGGAGCTGCCCAATTGTTTTATAGTCCTTAAACTTCCTTGCTGTTTTTAACACACTGCCCAACACACTTCTTGTGTTTAGTCAATAAATAGACATGACCTTACTGCTTCTTTTTGTCTCTGTGACAAAAAGTGCCAATAAATAATAAAGACTGCATAAAATATTAGTGAATTGATGCTGAAGTGCTGTTTTAATTTGTTTTTTCCATAATTATAGGCAAGACAAGCTCCATTCCTGGGTTGTGGGGTTTTTTTAGGGTGTTACTGGTCGTGGTGCTGAGCAGTATCTATAGCAGCAGTAGCCTGCAGTGCTTTGACTGACATTGTTTTGCTCCTGAAGTGGAGCAGCAATTGAAGGAAGAGGCTTAGCCTGTGCTGTAGACTATTTGTGTCTTGCTTTGAAGTTTTGGCTGATAAGAATTTGCTGAGTAGCCACGTAGTGCCAGTGACAGATCTTTCAGTTGGGCAGCTGTGGAGATCTCACTGTGCAAATCAAGGAGAGTGATTTTTAGTGTCTGACTTGAAACTTGCAGTCAAGAAAATCCCAACCCTTTCCTGTCTCAAAGATGGTTGCTGGTGAGGTGTAGTCTCAAATGAAGCTCTTCCCCATGCTGAATAGTAAGCCAGGGCAGGGGAGAGGTGGTTCAAGGGCAACAGATAAAGTGCTATCTTTACCCTGGAGCTTTTTTTAATTGTCCCTTGTCTGACACAGTACCAGAAATTGGTACGACATGTACAGAGAGCATTATGTGCATTCAGTCTTGCCATGAGGAGCTCCTGCTGTGTTTGGAAGGCACAATTCTTTATGGCAAGCTTAAAATTCCTATTGTTTAACTAGGAATTCAAGTAACATTGAAGCCTTTCTGATTTTCTAGCATACAGGGTAGATTGTGTGGTAGGAATTAGCTCTTAAATATGTTAAAGCATTAAAACCACCTACAAAACTAATTTTTTTGGGAGAACTCCTGAAAGACATAACATATAAACCCTAACATTTTGTGATTCTGTGATATAAGGCTATTCCAGTTACACTGGCTGATGAAAGGAAACATGACAATTGATTGCATAGTAAGACTCTAGCTGTCAGTGTCCAAATGAATGTAAATGCTTTCCTTAAATAATAATATCCATTCTTGATATACAAACTTCTGGGTTTCTTTTAGGCTTCTTTTTCCCAAGTTCTTGGACCAGTGCTCACAAGGTATGTGTCACTTTTCTTGTGGAAAATGTGGAAGTGGAGTTCCCCTTTCTGCTACTTTAGAAAGGGAAAAATGAGCTGGGTACCTCGTTCCTTGGTTAAGTTTCAAGAGCAGAAGCAAACTCAGCTCTGGCACCTTCTCAGTTGCTTTTAACAGTTGTATAGCAGATTTACAGCATTCAGACCAGTACATGTGGTGTGTGTCTATATGTGAGAACAGATCTCTCCAGTCAGATAATCTTTATTTTAAGCTCAGTCTGAAATTGGGTAGACCAGGGAATGACAGCTGAGATTTTTAAGCTGCTGTCAGACCACAGTTACTGCACCATGACTTCCTGATCTTACATTCATGTCTTCCCAAGTGAACTGCAGGATCCTTAGTTTTTGTGTTTGCATTTAAAAGCAGTTGTCAGAGCAGGCTACTGCCCTCTTCTTGTGGCCATTCATACTCCCCAGAGCTCTGTGTTGCTGCCAGAATTTTGCCACCTCTTATTCACGTGCTGAGGGAGCCCCTCAGAAGAAGCTGGAAAATATATAGGTGCTATTATAAAAATCAGTATTTTATTCTTGTTTGGGGGATTATGTTGGTGCTACAAATTGGGGAACTGACCAATAAATAACTAGCATGATGAAAGCCATGGGTGGAATGTAAGAAAGCAGGAGGATGTTGAGTTGGGAGTAGAGGAAAGTATCACTAACTACTGAGAAGTTAAAAGTGCAAGCTTGCCTTTGGGTTTTATTACAGAGTAATAAAAAAATCTCTTTTCTATCAGTTGTCCAGACCTGATTGGGTTAGAATTGGTCATTGTCCAAGGAGGAACTAGAAAATGCTTAGGACAAGCATAGCTAATCTTCCTCTGGTCCAGGCACTGAAAGAAAGAGAAATACCAGAGGTCAGGGGAACCTTCTTCCAGCAGTGAGTGATCTCTGCATGGTGCAAGGTTTTGTCATCTAGTTTTCAGCTACACAATGTGACATGAGATAGTCTGGAGGTCTGTTCCTGTAAAGCAAATGGTTTCACAGGAATAGGGGCAATTTTAGTGTGAAAAGTTTTCAGAGGAAAAGTATGCTTTGGACTGAGATGTGGTGCTCTCTTCAACTTGCAGACAAACACAGAACTGTATCATGTTTATAGCAGAGAATTGACTTCTGCAGAATTAAGAATTCATTTCTGGTGCAATAGCAATATTGAGTATCATGGCCTAGAGTCACAGAATCTTTTAGTTTGGAGGAGACCTTCAAGATCATCAAGCCAAACCATTCCCCCATCCCTGCCAGGTCCCCACTGCCCCGTGTCCCTCACCCCACATCTCCACAGCCTGGAAACCCCTCCAGGGGTGGGGACTCCACCACTGCCCTGGGCAGCCTGGCACAGGCCTGGACAACCCTTTTGAGGAAGAAACCTTTTCATTAGACTTTTGGGGGGTTACTTTGTCAAGACCACAATCTTCCAAATTTTGGCAGTGAGCAGGGTTAGCCTTTTGTTGCTGCTTTATAGGTCTCTTCTCTTGTGTGGCTTTCTCTGTCCATAAACCTGTAGCAACATGACATCATTTTGCATGAGTGACACTTCATGTTTGAGGACTACAGGAAGACCACAAGACTACAGAAACAGATGAGGACCAGGGAGAACTGGGAAAGCCTTGACTGGAGTGCCCAGTGTTACCAGTTTTTCTTCACCTCTCCCTTGCATATTAGCTGAAACTTTTCAAACGAGTCTTGCCCCCATCTATATACTCTTAAGTTCCTTTTCCAAATATACTTTTTTGGAAATCTCTTCCCTGCACAGAGGCTGTAAGATGACACATTCCTAGTCTAAGGGCACATTGGCAGCTCTTGTGTTGTGCATGAGGTTGTTTCACAGATGAAGACATCACCATTGTTAAATGTGCCCATTGTACGTTCCGGAGCAAAGAGGATCCATTATTTCCATAAAGAATACATATTTTTTAATCTATCCCTCCTGTTTCTTTACTGCCTCTATTGAACATGCTATTCCCCAGGCAGTAAAGATTCCTTTTTTTCTTTAGATGAGTGTTTAAGTAAGGAATTGAACAAAACTGGGTGGTCTTCAAAATGCAGCAGAAACGGAGATGGGGGTGACAATTTAAATAGAAAAGGTCACAATTATTTGTTACTAAAGCTCTGTAGGCATCTTCCAGCTCTCAGAAAGCTGCTTTTCTTCTGGATTACACTACCTGTGGGTCAGTTCAGTATTGTGGCCTGTTGCCTGCTAACCCAGGGCACGTTTTTGGGGGCTGCTGGCACCTACAGGGGTTAGGGGTAGGTGTGGGCAGAGCCAGAGCAGGTTGCCCAGACTCTGAGCAGGCTCCTGTGGTTTCCAGGGTTGTGTGGGAGATTACAGGCAGGACTGACAGCTAGTGCCCAAAAGCTGTTCCCCCTAGACAAGAGCAAATGAAGCAGAGATTGATGGAGAAAAAGAGTATGGCTGATGAGCATGAAGCTTCTCCTTTGCTAGATATTTTTATTCCTTGAACCTTCATCCTGATTTTTAAGCTTTGCCAGCTCAGTCCTTGCCAATCACCTCTTCTCTCCAGGGCACAGAGCTCCTAACGAGCGTGTGCCTCGTAGCATTGATGTTGTACAGCCCTTTTATTGTTCTGTGCCAGCTTCCCAGAAAGTACAACTATGTTTTTAATTAAACTTGACTTTTAAATTAATAGCAAGTTTGGGGATATGCAGGAAAAAACCCCACTGAGCGTAGCACGCTGGCTGCTTGTTGATTAGCTTATTCATACTTTGCATCTTAATTGCATGATCTGCTTAATAATTTCAAGAATGCAGTGTGACTTAAATTTCTAAGTGTGGTTGAGGTTGTCCCCTCCCCATCCCACCTCTCTCAAGAGCAACTGTGTGTTGGAGAAGAGTTGGATGTTTGTGAAATGGGAGTGGAAACTTCTATGGGAGATTTAACCAAAAAAAAAAAAAAAACAAGATAAATATTAATGATGAAAAATTGTGGTGTAATGGAAGCACCCCAAAAACATTTGGTGTAGAAATTTCTGTGTAAAGAAGCCTCTGCAAGGATTAGTGGACTTCAGTTATTTCTGCCAAGATGAGGAGTAACTGTAGGCAGCAGGTCATGGTGAGAGCTTCATTATGAGTTCTGCTTCAAATAGTGATGAGCTGGGGGGAAGGAGATGCAGCCTGGTTCAGTTGTTCATGGGTGTTTGGCAGATTAATATTCTCACACTCTACCTGTAGTTACAAGAAAGTGTCTGAACTGGGCTGCACACCTTGAGCAAAGAGCATTAATGGCACATCCTGGATCATCCCGAGCTCCTAGGCAGTCCCAGGGGCTCAGCACTGCAGTCTCTGAGGAACTGAGTAACCATTTCTTTTGAAATTGGTGGCACTAGGTGCAAGGTGAAGGGATGCTGCTGAGTCTGAAAAAAGAATTGTTCTTCTGGTGATACAGCTGAGTCTTCTGGGGAGCTGGGGGCTCAGGACAGATAGTTATCACAGAATCCCAGCATGGTGGGGTTGGAGGGGACCTCTGGAGATCATCTCATCCACCCCCCTGCTCCAGCAGCTCACCCCCAGCAGGGTGCCCAGGGTCACAGCCAGGAGGGTTTGGGATCTCTCCAGAGCAGGAGACTCCACAGCCTCTCTGGGCAGCTGCTCCAGGCTCCAACACCCTCACCCCAAAGAAGTTTCTCCTCCTGCTCAGGTGGCACCTCCTGGGTTCCAGTTGGTGCCCGTTGCCCCTTGGCCTGGGGCTGGGCACCACTGAGCAGAGTCTGGCCCCAGCCTCTTGCCCCCCGGGGCCCTTGAGCTCTTGCTCAGCACTGCTCAGATCCCCTCTGAGGCTTCTCTTCTCCAGCTCAGCAGCCCCAGGGCCCTCAGCTTTTCCTTGTCAGTGAGAGCTTCAGCCTCCTCCTCCTCATCCTCATAGCCTATTGTTTTTCTGTGTTATCTTTTTTTGATGCCTTGTGAGTTCAGCCATGCTGTCTCAATACCATTTTGGGATCTGTCTTTAGAAACAGAGACAACAAATCCCAAACCAAATCCTTCTCTTGTTTTTGGAAGCAGCAATTGTCAGGGTCCAAAATACTGATGTTTAGCTCTTTAGGCAATCTTTCTACACAATCACTCTGCCAAGAAGCTTTAAATCTTAGTATTTTTTGTTAAGCCAGTCCCTCTCAAATTGTTTCTCATCTGAATCTATTCCATTCTAATTAATGGATTCTTTTGATTGGGTCTAAATTACTTCTGCTACATGGCCTAATTAGTAGAAAAATGTCTTGAGCTGGTGTAGCTGTGTTTTGGCAAAGCAAACCTTCCTCTTTAGTTGAGTCATCTTCCATGACTGGCATCCTACTGATAGGCTCATGGTTTTGAGTTTGGGGTTTTTTTTTAAAGAGTGCTTTCCCTGAATCACAAGAACCCACAGATTGCACCATCCTTCCTCTTAGTCATTCCAGTGACTGCAGAGGGTTGTCTCCTTCAGGAGGTCTCTGGGTTTGGGCAGAACAGGTTTACGAGCTGGCTGGCCTCTAGATGCAGTTGCAAAATCCATAAGTCCTGATAATTCTGTGTGTAGTTATTCCACAGTGCTCATGTGTGAAGTTAGGTGGGAATCTGGGTTTTTGCTGGGCTGGCAAGAGATGAAAAGTTCCTTGCTTGTTTGGTTTTCTTGGGGTTTTTGAGGGGTTTGGGTGTTTTTCTTGTTTTCTTTAGTAACATCACTGTAGTGAGACAGGAGGAAAATAAGAATGGCTGTTGTATTACTTAATTATTTCTTAGTCACTGTTGCATACCAGTAAACAATCCTCTGATTTCCTTACCCAGGACTGGTGAGCAACGTGGTTTTCACAAGCCATGCTACAGAGCAGAAGCATCCACTCCTCCTGCAACTGCAGGGCCTCATCCGAGCAGCCAACCCTGCAGTGTCCTTCATCTTGGCAGAAAATGGAGTTGTGAGGAGGTAACCTTCATCCCTGGCCACCACGTGTCACCTGGGGCAGCAGACAGGACAGGGCCCTTAGCAGCTGGGAATTTCTTGGTTTGTTCTGGGAACTTATGCAAAGGAGATGCAGATTTTTTTTTTTCTTAATTGCTTCTCATGCAAAAAGCATCTTCCCTTTTATGACCAGATAAATACAGGGATTAGGAAATGTATAGTTTTGTTTGCACAGTATGACTTAGTCTTGCTGTCATGATAAGGGAAAAATACTCTCAGTTTTACTGTGACTAACACATTCTGCTTTATGTAAGCAGCATACAGATAGTGGTCATTTTATTGAACCTATAAAATTAAAAATCTTCATCTTTCTCTCTTTATAGGAATGAGGATATTGAATTAATTCTCTCAGAAAGCAGCTTTTCAAATCCACAGATGATGAGAGCTCGATATTTAATGTATCCTGGCTGGCAAGTATCTAGACTGAGAAGTATTAAAGCTATTTTTCTAATTAACTTGAAGATTAAAAATTCTCACTAACTGAATTTATATATTTTTTTTTTTTTTCCAAGACTACTCATTTGGAACAGACAATAGCTTTGTAAATCATTTTTAAAAGCAAGCTGATGAGTATTCTTAGTAGATACATGATCACTGTCCTTTTATGGGGAGAAGGATCCTTTCTGGTCACCACTTAAATCAATGGCAAGATTACTGTTGCTGTTGAGAAGAATAGAGAAGAACCCTCTGGGAATAAACTGGGAAGGGTTGGGGTGGGTGAGGTCAATCATGACTAGAGTAATTTCATTCTGACAGCTCTTCAGCCTTACTGGAATGAGCTCGCTGTGTCAGCCTAGCTATTAGCAGAACAATTATTCCTAAACCCCAGCAGCCTTACTGACAGTCTTGGCAGAGGCCAAGGGCACAGTAATGCATGGTACCAAGGTTTCCACTTATGCTGAGTGCTGCTTTTCATGCTTCAGGGTCCTTTGCACATCTTGTTGCAGTTCTCTCTGCTGCACCTATTTGGCAGAAAATACAGAGCTGTCAGACATCAGAACTCCTGCCTGACTGTTTCCACCTTCAGTCTGTAGTGGTGGAAGCTTGATTTGTTTACCAGAGCTTGCCAGTGCTGTTTGTATGTGTATCTTTTTTTATTCAGAATTCTGTGCTGGATGTAAGTAGGGCTCCTAAAGTAAACAGGCACAAAGCTTGGGATGCCAGAGCTGCTTGTGGATTTCGTGGAGCCAAAGAGAGAGAAGGGAAAAGCAGGAGAAGAAACTATTTAAAATTTCTGGACAAAGATAGTATGTAAGAATAGTGTGTAGATAGCATGGAAGAAAAAATGGTCCAGCAGGAAGAGTATCACAGAATGGTTTGGGTTGGAAGGGACCTTAAAGATCATCCAGTTCCAACCCCCTGCCATGGGCAGGGACACCTCCCACTGGACCAGGTTGCTCAAAGCTTCATCCAGCCTGACCTTGAACACACCCATAGTTGGAGCACCCACAACTTCCCTGGGCAACCTGTGCCAGGGTCTCACCACCCTCACTGAAGACTTTCTTCCTTACATTCAATCTAAATCTCCCCTCTTCCAGTTTGAAGCCATTCCCCCTTGTCCTATCACCACCAAGCCCTTGTAAAAAGTCCCTCCTCAGCTTTCTTGTAGGCCCCCTTCAGATACTGGGACACTGCCAGAAGGTCTCCCTGGAGCCTTCTCTTCTCCAGGCTGAACAGCTCCAACTCTCTGAGCCTGGATGAGTTGAGTTCATCTCATTTTTGATCCTCAGCTCATCTTTGTGGCCCTCCTCAGAAGGCTTTGAACAACCTCATACTGATAATACCACATTTTTATCAATTCCTTAAAAGACCAAGCTTTCTCCTTACTTATGATGGAATAATAGATGGACCTTTGAAGCAGTTTGTTAGAAAAGCACAAGCACGTGTCCTTTGCTGTCTGTTGAAGGGGTGTGTGTGTGTTTTTGTCTTCAGGTATGAAGGGAAATACAGAGCTGGGTCTGTCTTCCCTCCCATGGTTCAGATCTGCGTGTGGTTTAATCGCCCGCTGGAGAAAACACGATTTGTCACCAAGTGCAAAGGTACAAAGGAACTTTGACTGACTTGATTGAAATCCAAGTCTGAAAAGCTGAGGAGTAGAGGGGAAGGAAGGCACTGACGTAGCACGTGTATTTAATTCCTTC